GACGGACACACACACACCGATGGAGCCCTGCCGCGGTGCTGCCGGTTGGCTGGGCAGCCCCGGTGCAGCCGGGCAGGCCTCCGCACCCACCACCCCTTAGTCACCAGGGCTGGTGCCGGCAGGGAGCCGGGGAGCTGCAGGGAAGAGGGGGATCTCGCCCGGGGTCTACCCCGGGGACACGCGGCTGCAGGAGGCAGGAAACACCCGGCGCAGTGTGGGGAGAAACCTCCGCGGCTCCGCCGTTCCCGTGTTTCCCCACTTGTGCACTCCCTGTTCCCGTTTCTGACGGGTAAACGCTGCTTTCTGACTCAGCCCTGCCCTTCCTCTGCTCACAGGAGCAGCAAGGAGCTGCTGTTGCAGCCAGTGATCATCAGCAGGAACGAGAAGGAGAAGGTCCTCATCGAGGGCTCAATTAACTCCGTGCGCGTCAGCATCGCGGTGAAGCAGGTGAGATGGGGGGCGCGGGCCCTGGGCCGGCAGCTCACGCCCGGCGCGGGGGGAAGCCTCACTTCCCTTTTCTCTCCCTAGGCTGACGAGATCGAGAAGATCTTGTGCCACAAATTCATGCGCTTCATGATGATGAGGGCTGAGAACTTCTTCATCCTACGCAGGAAGCCTGTGGAGGTGAGGTAGCAGGGTAGCCAACCCCCAGCTCCGCTCCTGGCACTGGAGAGGGCTCCAGTGCTGAACTGGGATGCGAGGTCACATGGTGGGTGTTCCGGGTGCTCATCCCCAGGGCACTTCTCTCTTCCCCAGGGCTATGACATCAGCTTCTTGATCACAAACTTCCACACGGAGCAGATGTACAAGCATAAACTGGTGGACTTTGTCATTCACTTCATGGAGGAGATTGATAAGGAGATCAGCGAGATGAAACTCTCCGTCAATGCCAGGGCTCGCATCGTGGCAGAGGAGTTCCTCAAGAATGTGAGGCTCTGAACCGGGGTGGAGATTATTTCGGGAGTGGGGTGGGGGGGTCAAAGCCAGCGTGGCCCTTGTGCCCGGAGCCCTTCCTCCCTGTCTGTGGGGATGGATGTGGGGATGGTGGAGATGTGGAACCTCTTGGGGGTTGGGGGGGGAGGATGCCCGGGGGTGCTTGTGCCCGCTTTGCTGGTGAAGTGCCAGCTTTCAGACCCCCATGGGATGCACAGTCCCCGGGGAGAAGCTGAGCCTGGATCTCTGTGAGCAGTGGCCACCCTCGGCCTCCCTCCGGGCTGACAGGGAAGTGTGGTGAGGGGGGCCAGAGGGGTGCCCGTGGGTCGGGACTGACGGCTGTGTGTCTTCTCCTCCCGCCTTCCAGTTTTAGGCCGTGGTGCAGGACCCCGTGGCTCCCCAGTGCTTGTGCCCGCCGGGCACCGTGCCTGCGCCTGCTCCCGCTGCCCCCGGCAGACCCTGGCCGGGCCGGGCGGCCGTGCTGGGAGCAGCCCCCGCTTGCGGCAGAGCGGCCCCGGTCGCTCCCACTGTCTCGTCTCGTTTGTTTTTTTTTTTTTTTTTT